AAATTAAATTAAATAAAATTAAATAAAATTAAATAAAATTAAATAATAAAATAAATTAAAATAAATTAAAATAAAATAAAATAAAATAAAATAAAATAAAGAAATAATGTCTAGCAATTTGTATAAGCGTAGCTCAACTGATACCATAGTTTCACTGATAAGGAATTTGGGCTAATTTAGTGTCTCAAAGCAGAAACGGTCAACGGTCTGACTTCTTTAAACATTGACTTAATAAAACATCTTAATGAGACCTCGTCTTCAAGTCCAACTATATCTAACTGAGGCTCGTGAGCTCCTCATCTTGCCTGAATCTCTTTAGATTTTTCCTTAGCTGAGTTTTACCTCAGAGGTTACTCAATCTGAAGGAACCCCATTATCTTTTTGCTTCTAAAGGGTCACATCTTCCCACCACAGTTCGGCGGTCTCAAATTCGGTTTCTCAGGAGCAGTGAAGGAAGCCTATTAGCGTTACTCCTCACTGACCCAATAAAACTCATGTAGAAAGTGAACTTAGAAGTTCAAAAGGCTAAAGTGCACCAGAAGAGGCTCGTCTTCTGTTCACCTCACCGCTCTGAACGAAGTTTCTGCAGTACCACATCTATAGCCTGTCTCAACTTCTGCAGTTTTTTTGACCATCGGTTACTGTATAATAGTTTCTTCTGCTAAAGCTGAGGTCTAGACATCATGCAGTCAGAATATAAAAGCCCTGGAGTTTGACTGGATGCTTTGATTGTATAGAAAAGAGCAGACTGAATGTACTGTGTTGGGGGCAATGCATTACAAGTAACGCAAGTAACGTAATCAGATTACTTTTTTCAAGCAACTAACACATTACTTTTTAAATTTACAAGAAAATATCTGAAGTTACTTTTTCAAATAAGTAACAGCAGTTACTTTGTTTTCCCAAGTATTGACTGACGGCTCTCCGGTTGCCATGTTGAGAGAAATCAGGAGCGAGTGCAGAGGCGTTGTGTGCGCTGTGTGAACATGATTTTACAGTAGATCTAGACTAAATGTGAACATGCATTTACTCATCTCACTCGCACAAAAAAAAGATTCAGTATTCCTCAAAATGAATAAAAATTGTGAAAACGCAAACTCAGAATATTACGCAAACCTGCAATATTTAAATGTTAAATAACACAGATGTATTAAATCCCATTTTATTAACCAATATCTTTGCTGCTGAATTTCGATGAGCTAATTCAACCATACTAATAAGCAAAAATGATAAGCGTAACAATTGTGTTTTTTATTGCTAAAGATTTGATTTTTTTTATATTAAAGACAAACAAGTCCAGCCCAGATTTAAAAAGTAATGCAAAAGTAACACAAAAATAATGCAACACATTACTTTTCATAAAAAGTAACTAACACAATTAGTTACTTTTTTTAGGGAGTAACGCAATATTGTATCACATTACTTTTAAAAGTAACTTTCCCCAACACTGCTGAGTGTGCTTCAGAATAACTCTTTTTGTGTTCCACGTTTTGAGTTTGGCGATCATTTCAGAAAGAATTGCATTGCTGACCGAGTATTTTATCACGTCACCACACTATTAAGATGTTTACTTGGAAGACAAAGAGTTCATCTCTTCTAATGGACAAGCCGAAGGAGGATCATATTCTCAGAGCACTCTTAACATCTGATAGCCCATGAATTTTGTAACGCTGATTTTATGGATTCCAGTCAACGGGATGATGTATTTCATTAATGATATATTAATGCAAGTACTTTGATGCTGTTTTGGAAAAGCGAGCGACTCTCTGTGGGAACATTTTATTTTGAAGTATCGTTTGCAATGCTAATTCACCCTCCACCACCTATCTTCGTGATACGCCGCATATCAGTATAATCATAAGGGACCGCAGCTGGCTGATATTGCTCATTTCCATTTCAGCAAGCGTCTGATTACAGCTACTGTCTCCATTCCTGATGGTCTGGACGTGATTAATTTGTCACTAATTGTAAGTTTAAAAATGCTCAGAAAGGAGGAAAAAAATAGAGGGCACTAAAAGCAAAGTGCTTTTGAATAGAGCGATGTAACGGCGGAGATGTGGCGCTGGAGACAGATGCCTGTGTGATTAGAGCTTATTAATAACCAACAAATCTCTGACGCGAGTGAGAACTGGAACAAAAGCCTCATGAAAGCGAGAGACCGTCACGGATATTTCCATATGCTCAGATGAGCGGTTTAACGTTCCTTTTGTTTTATTCACTTGTGCAATTCTGTCATTCTGCCATCTACTGAAACAATATCCGAATGGATCAGCATAAGACAAGGAGTGTGTGAAATCAGTGCATTGAACAATTACAGAGTTCTTTTTTTAATAAATCCAAACCTTTTTCAGCTCAGGAGATGATAATAATGCTAACAAGATTTAGTTGGATATCATTTTCATCCATTTGTTTTCTCGAAGGCTACTTATCGGATGGCTGAGAGCAAAGGCGACCAAGCTCAGATGCATTCAGCAATTAAAACTAGCCTTTGAAATGAGTCATTGTGGACATTTCTACATCTTTTCATGCTGTCATGGAAATGATTCTGGATAGTCTGAGCATCAACGAATGTTCAAAAATGTCATTCTTGCCTTCAGAAAGATTGACTCTCAGGAGACGAAATGAAAAATAATAGGTAACATTTTATTTTGATAGTCCACTTTAGACATTCTACTGACTTGAAGTAAGCGCGTTCAAGTCATCTCGGAAATAACTTTTGTTAAGCCCAGAGTTGACAGAGTGTCATTATTTTTTGCATTTAATTTTAAATATTTTATATTTTAAATATTTTTATTTACAATAAAACTATCTTGTTGCATCGAAGAAGAAAAAAAAACACGGAAATATTGTACAATCATGAACCTTCATTAATAAAAAAAAAAAAAAAAGAATCATTTAAAAAAATCACACTCTTTACTGATCATTTCAAGTAGAGTTTAAACATTTTATTTTAAGATTTTTTTTTTTTTTTAAGAAAAGGTGCATCCATAACTTGCGCATGAACACACCTGATGTTGTAATAACGACTTGTCAACTCGTAAACCAGGAGGGGAAGTTGACTACATTTCAACTAGCAGTCATTTTAATTAGAGCATTAGTAAACTGTCTGCTTAATATCTGCTAACACTTTATTTTGATGGTCCGCCAACACATTTTACTTACTATAAGTAACTTGCAACTCTAAAAAATCCTGGGGTATTTTTTTTAACCCAAATGCTGGGTTTTTTGGGTTATTTTTTCAGTGTTTGGGTAGTTTTTGTGTTACTCAGATCCTGGGTCAGACGTAACCCAGCGGTCGAGTTATTTATTGCGGATATTGTGTGTCCTCTTCAGGAGAGAACAGTTCTAAGCACCATCGAATTGATGCATTTCTTCATTAAAATACAGGTTTGTGTACATTTTATTTTATCTATAAAATCGTTACTGTGCTGTATATCGTTCAATTTTATGCTAAAGTGGACTATTGAAATAAAGTGCAACCAATAAAACAGGGAAGAATGCATTGGACAGGGCTCTTCTTATTTATAAACATCCCTATTAAGTTGAAAAAGCAGATTCGTGCCTATAGAGTTGCAGTCAATACAGCAGCGACTTCACAGATCAATGGTGTTTTCATTAAAACGGTTATCACAGTAAGTTACGGTTCTGCTAATTGTTGACCGAAATGTAAAAAGAAATGAATTACAGTAATTAACGGCAAATTTCAGCTACACAGGACTGAGTGGTAAATGTTTTGACACCGCAATCAAAAGACATAATTAGTCATCTCCTTTTGACGTGCCACGGTATTCATTTCTCCTTTAGAACGCCGATCACTTCTAATGGAGTCTTGAAATTGGCACTCTGGCTAAAAACCCGGTGGGAAAAAGAGCCGAGCGCATTTCAGTCTGATATTTAAAAACATAAAATACAACGAAACACAGCCCAAATCATTTTCCCGGCTGGATATCTCCCAGTGACACATTTTTTCCTCGGGTGATGCCAAATTCACATTTTATGCAAATAAAAGTGTCTGTGTGGAAAGAAAAAGCCTGCCCTTATCTGTCAACTTTTGACTATTAACCTCGGTGACAGGCACAGGCAGGTTCCTCTTATCCAAATTGAAAAACAGAGTTATTTGAATATTGGAAGACAAGAAATGCAATATGCTTCTACCGCAGAATCGCAAAACACAGCCCAACTCATTTTCCCAGCTGGATATCTCCCAGTGACACATTTTTTCCTCGGGTGATGCCAAATTCACATTTTATGCAAATAAATGTGTCTTTGTGGAAAGAAAAAGCCTGCCCTTATCTGTCAACTTTTGACTATTAACCTCGGTGACAGGCACAGGCAGGTTCCTCTTATCTAAATTGAAAAACAGAGTTATTTGAATATTGGAAGACGAGAAATGCAATATGCTTCTACCGCAGAATCGCACGCATTTGCCCTCTATTGCTCCGCTGAAGAGATAAGACAGTATTTAGCCCAATGTGGACACAGCTTACAAGAACAAAGCGATTGAGGGAAATAATTTGACTCTTTTGAAAAAAAATTCTGCTTGCTTTTAATGGAATCTTTTAATGGAGAACAAAGAGATGGCGTGGTTTTTCCCCCTGGCAGGTGTTATTAAACAGACAGGTCTGTCGGACAGACTTAACTCATTTTACAGCACTAGGGACTAACACTGTATTATTGAACTCAGATCGCAAACCGTGTGAAACTATATGTTTTATTACTTCCAGCTAAAAAATGCAGTACTTGTCAAAAGTTTGGAAACATTACGATTTTTAACGAAGTCTCTTCTGCTCACCAAGCCTGTGTTTATTCGATCATAAACACAAAGATTTGAATGGTAGCATATCATGGTTTTTGCATAAAAATGGTTTCCAACATTGCTAATAATCATAAATGTTTAGCAAATCAGCATATTAGAATGATTTCTGAAGATCATGTGACACTGAAGACTGGAGTAATGAAGCTGAAAATTCAGCTTCGATCACAGCAATAAATTACATTTTACCATATATTAACATAGAAAATATTTATTTTAAATTGTAATAACATTTCACAATATTACTGTTTTAAAAACCATAATGCTTCCAAATGTTTGACAAGTACTGTATACATATTTTAATTTGATTCCTTGCTTATTATGCCAGAAAAAAAAACACCTTCATTGCAAGAAACCTTGGCAATAAAATATTTTAAAATGGGTTAATAAATTAATCTAAAATATGAAAAGAATACAAATCGCTGCTGCAAGCAATCAATGAACCCAAACACATTTAGTAAACCACTGAGTCTGCGAGCACTGAGAAATATCCCTTTAAAACCCAGGTCCCATTAGAGAAAAATGCCCAGCGAGGACGTCTGGAAATTCATTTGGTCATGGGAGAAATGAATAGTGAAAGTCATACACATGCTTATTGGCTGTTTATTTCCTTTCGGGTCTTTGAGGGAAGGCCTGACCTACTTACAGCGGGAGGATCTCTTCTGCTAGTCTAATCTTCAGAATAACACAAGTCGTCCTCATGAGACCCGCTGCCTTGTTTCTCTACTGAGTTCTGTCTATAAAGTGAACCTCAATTGGCGGGCGTCTCGTAATATTCTGGGCCAGTCATTGTGCGAGACAACTGATGAAACTGGCATTGACATTGTGTCAAGTCGCCTTTACTGTGCCTGCGCAATTATAGTAATAGCTGTGATTACATGAGTTGCCATTTTCAATATGAAGAGAAAACAGGAGGTTAAGAAAGCAGATGATGAGGCACAGGCTGGACTAAATAATCATCAAACTAGACTGTTGCGTTTACATACATGTGCAAAACTCACTGCCCTGATGCGCTGCAGCATTTTATGTGCTGTTTGCTAGACTACGCATAATACAATGCTTTTAGTCATAATCTGTGCGTGTTTAATGCATACGTTTACCTCACTTACTGTATGTCAAAACTAGGCTAGGTTGTAATTTAAGCACAACTGGTGCAACCGGCCCCCAATTCATTTCGAGATTAATACAAGGACAATGTGGACCTTGAATGATTCACTGTGAGTCTGGTAATGCAAATGTGAATTATTTTGACTGACTCATTAATAGAAAGAAAACAGTTCATAACAATCTGACAAATCAGACAGCTCAGCTCGTGCCATGTTTGTCGCTGCACACAGAAATCACTGGCACACACTCTAATGAGACTGAGATCATGTTGCCATGCAGATTCTAGTGGTTGCTAGGGTGTTACCAGAGTATTTTCGGTGGTTGCTAGGGTGATCGGTTTCTTATTGGGCCAAGCAAAGAGCATTGCTGCATCCCAGTTCGCCTACTTACACTGTTCTAAAAGTGTGTACTCTTTTTGTGAAGAAAAAGTACATACTTTTGAGTGTGCAGCAGAAAAAGTGAATGACTAAACGTATCTTTATTAAAGTTTGCAATGTTGTTGCAGATGAAATATAATGTGGGTAACATTAAATAATTATTTTTTCATCAGGTTAGATATTGAAACGAAAACGTTTTTCCTTTGCAGTTTTTAAAAGATTCATGTGTAGACGAAAATGTTGTCAAAACGATCCCCGTTCACACGGATTAGCGAAAACGATTAAAATCCCTGTATTATGCATGCCAGGCCAGTAGATGGCGATGTCAATTTGTAAAGAAACACTACGCACCTGCGCACATACCTATAGACTAAACATGTAATACGCATGACATCACCATTTTCACAAATTCACGTTTTTGTAGTTTACACGGAGACGATAAAGGCATAGTTTTCATAAACTTCCACTTTGAAACCTGTTTTCAAAAGTTTGCTGTTGTCGTGTAAATTAACGACCAAAACACATACATTTTTTGATGTTTTTAGTTGAAAATAATGTCATGTAAACGCCCCCTCTCTACTTATTTGTCGGTCTCACACATGCACCATGTTTGTAGTTTTTTAACACTTTTATTTGTGTTTGTAGTTCTAATCGAATCCGCTTCCAATACGCAATGGGTTGTGGCCAATATAAGCAATTGCACTTCGAATTTTCACCGTAAATAGTAAACCATCCATGATACTCATTTCAACATACTACGATTCAGGACACACTAATGCCGAATACTATTTACACAACTCATGATATCCTAGTCTCTAGATATGATTCAAATCTCTCCTTCAGTGTAAATCCACATGATTTTTCTCCAATACTTACACGTCTCCATCCCCTCGTCATCTTCATCGGGGTTGACTATGGTCACACCTGGCTTGTCGTAAGACTTGTCGATGGCCGCCCGGAAGCTCTCGTTGCAGCCCCGCCCCCTGATGATTCTGGGGCGTGGCCTGTGGAACGAGACGTCTCCGTTGAGCGTCGCCTCGGCAACAGCTGTCTGGAGGCTCTCCAAGGAACTCGACTTCTTCAAACCCAACGACGGTCCCACATCTCGTGTGGAGTTGCCTTGGGGTGGAGAAAGAGAGAGAGAGTAAAGAAAACATGCCAGAAAGAGAAGAAAAAAGATGCCGTCTCACTTTTTTCGTCAATAAATCTTTCCCTCCTAATTCACTTTTATAATTTACATCCCTCGCTGAAGACAAATGTGCATATTGGGGTTGCGTTTATCTGCAGATGGAGGGTGAAAAAAGTGTGCTAAAATAATATGAAATATAAATGGCTCCACTGGATGCAAAGTGAGGTGTCAGACAGATTATCCGTCTTGCATCCGTCACATTTTTAACTCTTGAGGTCATTTTTGCCTCTTTTTCCCCAATGTACTGTATGTGTGTGTGTGTGTGCGAGACGGTAAGGGAAAATGCGCATAACTCCTTTCTGTAGTTTAAGGCACTGATGGATGGCCCAAATATGAAGCCCATTATCTTCCCTGTGTGGTCGTGGGAGGAGGTGGAGGAGAGGATGTGGAGAACAAGAGGGAGGAAGAGCAAAAGCTTGTAGACTAAACATGCTTTGAGACTCGGCCCGTTCAGATCCTAGCCGAAACTCCCTCAACTCGTCTGCTTAATGACCTTTTCATGCATTTAATCCACTTGTTTCTCGTTAAGGGTTCCTCACAAAGACACAGCAGGCCCACACTTCAAACATGCGCCAGTGCGGAGACAACATTAATCCTGCTTATGGAATCCTGTAGAGGAAGAATTCTAGAAATGCCTCAATGGGAGCGAATGGGCTTGGCTGCTCGGGTCAGGGATTTGCATGTGTGTGTGCAGAGCACAAATAGAACACTAAATGAGAACAAAAAAAAATGTCTCCTTTCCTTACATGTAAACGGAACATGGAAATGGAAATATATTTTTCATTTCTTTTTTCTGTGTATTTATTTAAACATTTATTTAGTATCTAATTTATATTTAGTAAATGAGTAACTTAATTTACTCATTAAACAAAGTTAAACCTATTTTGCAATATAAAATTTTGCAAAAAATAAAATAAAATAAATATGCTGATTTGCTGCTCAAGAAACATTTCTGATTATTATCAATGTTGAAAACAGTTGTGCTGCACAATATTTTTGTGGAAACAAGCGCATTTACCCAAGATTTTTTTGCTGATTAAAAAGTACAACGAACAGCATTTATTTGAAAAGTAAAACTGAAGTTTTGAACTGTAATTTTAAAAATATACTTTCATGGCCGGTGTAATATTTACTAAAATACTAAATATTGACAATGAAATATTTACGGCCAGTAAACATTTTCAATTCATGTTCAGCTGGCTCATGCGGTACAAAGCTAATTTTGGATCCCATGTACGTGTGAATTCGTGATGTGTGTGTGTGTGTGTGTGTGTGTGTAACCGTGCGAGCCATATGGAACAGACTCTGAAACAGTTGCCAAGTACTAAAAATGATCTAAGCCACCTGCATGATTGGATAAAATAGTCTGTGTACCTCTAACAATAAACATTGATAAATGCCAGCATGCACGACTGCTTTACACACATGCGTGCACGATAGTTTCAGTGATGTATTATACCGCTGCACAGCACATAAAATCTCTCAGATGAACTCTAGATGATGCATTAATGTGAGTCCAGCTGTGTGCGTCTCATTGAAATGTACAGCGCAACGGGTCGGTGCGCGCACGCACGCTCTAACACAATTAGCATGCAAATGATATATATACAAACGTTAACCGACAGCAGTGCTACAGTTCTCGAGAGCGCAGCCGAGGCTGCCGTTCCTGTTTGCTGGTGTAGCGTCTCGCTCAAAGACCTTCACGTCAGATATTGATGGAAAATGTGTCGGCTGCGACGCTGAAAATACAGCCCTCAAACTCTAGCATTTAACGGGCCTCCCGCTTGGACAGCTGTAATTATTTTTCCAATGGCTACTGTTCTGTGTTTAGATTTGGCTAGTGAGGCGAGACTCGGGCACTGGCTGCTCATTCTGTCAGTGAACGCCTGTTTAAGGGCCTCAAGAACAGCGACCCTGAACCGAGGGTCAGCAGGGAGGATTGGTTTGAAAATATGGGTCAATGAAATATAAGAGTGCTCACAAAAAAAAATACAAAAAAAATTCTTCCCTGTGTGGTCGTGGGAGGAGGTGGAGGAGAGGATGTGGAGAACAAGAGGGAGGAAGAGCAAAAGCTTGTAGACTAAACATGCTTTGAGACTCGGCCCGTTCAGATCCTAGCCGAAACTCCCTCAACTCGTCTGCTTAATGACCTTTTCATGCATTTAATCCACTTGTTTCTCGTTAAGGGTTCCTCACAAAGACACAGCAGGCCCACACTTCAAACATGCGCCAGTGCGGAGACAACATTAATCCTGCTTATGGAATCCTGTAGAGGAAGAATTCTAGAAATGCCTCAATGGGAGCGAATGGGCTTGGCTGCTCGGGTCAGGGATTTGCATGTGTGTGTGCAGAGCACAAATAGAACACTAAATGAGAACAAAAAAAAATGTCTCCTTTCCTTACATGTAAACGGAACATGGAAATGGAAATATATTTTTCATTTCTTTTTTCTGTGTATTTATTTAAACATTTATTTAGTATCTAATTTATATTTAGTAAATGAGTAACTTAATTTACTCATTAAACAAAGTTAAACCTATTTTGCAATATAAAATTTTGCAAAAAATAAAATAAAATAAATATGCTGATTTGCTGCTCAAGAAACATTTCTGATTATTATCAATGTTGAAAACAGTTGTGCTGCACAATATTTTTGTGGAAACAAGCGCATTTACCCAAGATTTTTTTGCTGATTAAAAAGTACAACGAACAGCATTTATTTGAAAAGTAAAACTGAAGTTTTGAACTGTAATTTTAAAAATATACTTTCATGGCCGGTGTAATATTTACTAAAATACTAAATATTGACAATGAAATATTTACGGCCAGTAAACATTTTCAATTCATGTTCAGCTGGCTCATGCGGTACAAAGCTAATTTTGGATCCCATGTACGTGTGAATTCGTGATGTGTGTGTGTGTGTGTGTGTGTGTGTAACCGTGCGAGCCATATGGAACAGACTCTGAAACAGTTGCCAAGTACTAAAAATGATCTAAGCCACCTGCATGATTGGATAAAATAGTCTGTGTACCTCTAACAATAAACATTGATAAATGCCAGCATGCACGACTGCTTTACACACATGCATGCACGATAGTTTCAGTGATGTATGATACCGCTGCACAGCACATTTCTCTCAGATGAACTCTAGATGATGCATTAATGTGAGTCCAGCTGTGTGCGTCTCATTGAAATGTACAGCGCAACGGGTCGGTGCGCGCACGCACGCTCTAACACAATTAGCATGCAAATGATATATAAACAAACGTTAACCGACAGCAGTGCTACAGTTCTCGAGAGCGCAGCCGAGGCTGCCGTTCCTGTTTGCTGGTGTAGCGTCTCGCTCAAAGACCTTCACGTCAGATATTGATGGAAAATGTGTCGGCTGCGACGCTGAAAATACAGCCCTCAAACTCTAGCATTTAACGGGCCTCCCGCTTGGACAGCTGTAATTATTTTTCCAATGGCTACTGTTCTGTGTTTAGATTTGGCTAGTGAGGCGAGACTCGGGCACTGGCTGCTCATTCTGTCAGTGAACGCCTGTTTAAGGGCCTCAAGAACAGCGACCCTGAACCGAGGGTCAGCAGGGAGGATTGGTTTGAAAATATGGGTCAATGAAATATAAGAGTGCTCACAAAAAAAAATACAAAAAAGAAGATGTGCATTCAAGTCATTGCATGCATGAATTATAGAGTATATACAGTATAGAGTATATATATATATTTTTATTTATGTTAATTCTTTTTATTTATATACTTTTTTTACATTTTTTTTTTTACTTTAAACTTATGAAATTAACCTGATAGATTAAAGTACACAAAAGTAGCCTCATATCACTCAGTCATACAGAGATTACGGATGCAAACAGAGCTGCTATCAGTGACGCAGGTTCAGGCACATTTAGGACCTCGAGAACTTCCTGGAATTGACGTTTGCCATTTCAGTAGACCTTAAAAACTGTCTTTCTATACACGTGAACGTCACATATGGTGGCACTCTGTGTAAACATAGCTGTCTCCCTCATTCTCGTTCCTCCTCTCAGATGATGCGTTGAGCTGGACCCGATGGTTTGGTCCTTCTCCTAAAAACATCTTCCCTCCGTCTACAGCAGGCTGAGATTCCTGACTGCTTTCAGACGCTAAATGGAGCGTTTCTGCCGGCCGCGGAGCTCACAGCCCATCCTCAGCAGGAGAGACGTGAAGCAAAACAGCCATTAGCTTAGCAAAATAAACCTCCAACATCGTAAGAAAACAATTAGAAATCTATTACCTTCCCTTGAAAGACGAGTGCTTTAAACATTGTTTTAAACATCAGTATAAGGGGACTGAACGCTTAGAAATGATTCCAGGTGTTTTGAGGTGTAGGATAGTAAACCAAACCAGAGCCGACGCTGTTAGCATTCGTTCACAACTGTTAGCAGCTTCTGAAGCCAGGGATCCTTTATAACCCTCCTGATGCTTTAACCAAATAAACCAGCGCTGCAGAAGCTACTGATTAACCTAACCAGTGCCAAACCAGTGACTGACCTCATCCAGGACAAAAAACTGAACCATACTGAGCTGGCCAGAGACTCACGGTCTCCATATTCATGAAATCTTTCATTTACAAGAATACAGTAAGTCACCGCAAACACAGGTGCTTTGGCTGGTGAGAACATGACGAATGATTTTGGAGGGACATTTAAGACTCAGCAAACTGAAAGTGTGTCTGTCAGTGTGAGATTTCGAAGTTCATTCAAGATTGAGAATTCTGCCATAATTTGTCATTCCAAATTCATGTGACAGTGTTTAGTTTGTGTAACACAAAAGGTGATTTTGTCAAAATAATGACAATAATTAAGGTTGGGATTTGTTAAGCTCCAGAATAAATAAATAAATAACAATGAGTGACAATGAATAGTTACAAAAAAAAAAACATATAATAGTCATAT